CGACAGTTACCCAAATAGGGCTATCAAAAATGTGGCCTCTTCTCAATATCCTGGCAAGGGCGATTCTATTCTACTATTCCCCGCGGCGACATTAATTTTTCTGCCGATTAGCCACAATACTCTGTAGAGCCAATCCTCCACGCTATCAATGATCTCCATGAGTTATCCTAATTGATTGGATCTAAATATTCTCGAGTAACCTCTCCCTTCGCTCTACGGATCGCGCAACAAACTTTGCAACATCGACGCAGCCCGATCGTTACTGCAACATGCCTCCCAAATCCCGGTTTACTCGTCTAGACGCATTCACCAAGACTGTGGAAGATGCACGAGTACGAACCACGTCGGGAGGAATTGTCACGATCGGATCGCTGCTCGTTTTGCTCTACCTGATATGGGGAGAATGGTCAGACTATAGACGGATAGCTGTGCACCCAGAACTGATTGTGGACAAAAGTAGAGGTGAGCCAAGCTACGGAAACTGTCTTGGGCAAAACAATGCTAATGCTGGCTGAACCCCTGACCAATGTAGGTGAAAAAATGGAAATACATCTCAACATTACCTTTCCTCGCTTGCCTTGCGAACTCCTTACACTTGATGTCATGGATGTCTCTGGGGAGCAACAAGTGGGCGTGATGCACGGTGTGAGTAAGGTGAGACTGGCATCTGAGGCTCAGGGCGGTGGAGCATTAGATATCAATGCACTAGATCTGTAAGAATTTTAGGGGTCAAAAGGTACTTCCCCATTCTAACCACATACACAGGCACTCCCCAGACGAGGCGGCCTTCCACCTCGATCCCGATTACTGCGGCGACTGTTATGGCGCGCCCGCTCCCAGCAACGCGAAGAAACCTGGCTGCTGTAACAATTGCGACGAAGTACGAGAAGCCTATGCGTCTGTTTCCTGGGCATTCACTCGAGGCGAAAACGTCGAGCAGTGTGAACGAGAGGGGTACTCCAAACGTCTGGATGCGCAACGTTCAGAAGGATGCCGTATCGAGGGCGCCCTCCGCGTCAACAAAGTCATCGGAAACTTCCACATTGCGCCCGGAAAGAGCTTTAGCAATGGCAACATGCATGTTCACGACCTCGGAAATTACTTTGAAAGCCCCGTCGAACATACCTTCACTCACTATATTCATTCCCTGCGCTTCGGCCCTCAGCTCCCCGATGATATTAAGAACAAGCTAAGAACTAAAGCCTCCCCATGGACAAATCACCACGCAAACCCCCTCGATAAAACGTCTCAAACGACAAACGACCGAAGCTTCAACTTTATGTACTTCGTGAAAGTAGTATCGACTGCCTACCTACCCCTCGGCTGGGAAAAAGCCCAAAACAAAAAAGTACCTCACGAAGCTGTAGACCTAGGCGCGTATGGCCACGGCCCAGATGGCAGCATTGAAACACATCAATACTCAGCAACAAGCCACAAACGAAGCCTCCTCGGTGGCGACGACTCCGCTGAGGGACACAAGGAAAGATTACACGCCAAAGGCGGCATCCCAGGGGTTTTCTTTTCTTACGTACATGCCACCCCCCTATATCACATAATACACGCTAACAAAACAACATCAAACAGGACATCTCCCCCATGAAAGTTATAAACCGCGAACAGCGCACCAAGACCTTCGCTGGTTTCCTGACAGGTGTATGCGCTGTGATAGGTGGGACCCTAACCGTCGCCGCTGCTATTGATAGGGGGTTCTACGAGGGGTCACAGCGGGTTAAGAAGTTGCATCAGCGGTAATACACGGGGGTTGTTTATTCCTTTTCCCTTTTCATTTGAACCGGAAACATCTGACACCCTGTCTAATCTAACTCATCTTGTCATCTTTTGGTGTTTTTTATTTTCACGAATGTGCTATTTAGCCGTTAGGTGAAACCTGCATGAAACTGATATGTACTATTCCGTACTTGTCGCATTAAGATGGAATGAAAAAAATTCTTTTTTATAAATATGAGCCTTATGATAGAGATTCTTCCTATGCTTTGCCGGCATTTGAGCGGCTCAGACACTTACTCACAATGCCCTCTCCAGGCTATAGCCACCTACTTGCATTTGATTCACACCAGCTAATCATCTCCTAGTATCAACTACCCAGCAGGGAAAGCTAGATCTCTATATCTCTAATGCAGCCAGCCCACATAGGCTCTATCCTGTCAGTCAATCGCTATTGCTTTTTGCCCTTGCTTTTCTATCAACAAAGAGGAAAAGAAGACCAATAAAGCAAGAAGGGGATCTTTCAAACCGAACCCTCAAAAGTAAAAAAGTAATAAAAAGGAAAGAAAGTAGCTTTTTTTTGGTACTCCCCGAATAGAAAGCGTTCATCCCGTTTTATTTTTATTGCATCCCTTTTGTTGAGCAAGTGTTCAAGGAAAAGAAAGAGCCCCACGCTAAAAGCAATAAGGAAAGAAAAGGAAGAGTCAAACAAACACTTGTGTTTGGTGGATAGCGGAAATAAAGCGCCACCACACAAAGACAAAGTCTACTCATACCCAGCCGATTAACGCATCCATTCACTCCTCCCCCTCAGTCTCCGTCTCTTCATCCTCTTCTTCATCCTCGTCACTCTCATATTCCCCCTCCCTATCTGTCTCACTATCCGCATCCTCATCTTCATCGTCCAACCCCTTAACACCCTTCCACTCGACATACTCCCCGTCAATCCACCGTTTGCTACGCGGCAGTTTATATGGATCGAACGGGAAATAAGCTTCAAGTTCCAACCATAGCTCATCCTTACGGGCGGTAAGCGCCGTCTCTCTGTCTGGGTGGCTGTAAGTCCAGTTAGTAGTGGAGACTGTCGTATGTGAGAGTCGTAGGCGCTTGTTGCTTTCAATGAGTGGGAAGACATAGAGGAAGCGGAGATGGTTTGCCAGGCGAGCGAATTGGTTGACTATTAGTGGCGAGCAGACCTTCAGCGGGTTAAATTTTGAGTATATCGTCCGGTGTAAGGTATCTTTTATACCAGGCACCCAAGTTGTTTCGCAGAAGTCATAATACCTGGGGTCATCGTCCTCATCACGGTCTTCGTTGTTGATGGTCAATTCCCTCCATCGAAAACAAAAAATATAGAGGAGGGCCTGAGTGGCGGCATAGAAGTCACCATAACGCCTAACATCTGGCCCCCTACACTCTGCTTCTTCTTTCTTGCAGTAGCTAACAATATTAGCACCCACAATACGAAAGACTTCCCTAACCATCTCTTTTGTCATGTTCGCGGCTCTTGCAACGAAGCTGCCCACATAAGCTGCAGCGATCTGCTTGAACACAAGTGGGCGGGCGGGATCGAAAGCTTGGGCAATGCAAACGCCTGTAAACCAATCAATAAGCCACGGTGAAGATTGGGCAAAGTGAAATAATATAAACTGGGTATGACGGGACCGGTAAGTCGGTAGGATGGTTGTTGAAAACTGCTGAAGAAGAAGGTTGAAATCGTCACTCCCGTCGGTCGTTTTATTGGCAAAAAATGGGGTGTAGTAGCCAAACATTAGATCTAATAGGGAATCCATCTTTTCCACATTCGCCTTAACCTCCCTAAGGTGGCGGGCTTCGCCATCAATGGAGTCGTCACTATCTACCGAGCTAGTGTCGCTGTCGTCGTCCTCAAGTTCTCCATCATCTTCGTAATCCTTTATCATTCCCCGTTCCTCGCTGTGCTGCGCATCATCTCCCGCCAGTGTCTCTTTCACGTCATCCTCGAGGTCATCCATATCGATTTGAACCTGCACATCAATCTTCACGAGTCGATCGGTGATGAGAGCAAGAACGTCCGGCCTAAGCTCAGGTGCATATTCGATCACTTTAAGTAGATTTTGGACGTAATCTATATGTGCTTTCTTGGTGTCCGTTGAGTGAGGAAACGAGGCAGTTAGAATCGGCGATAACGATGAACTAGCTGATGGGATGAGCTGGAGTAGATATTTGAGAGCTGTATGCACACGAGCGTAGATCTGGGGCCGACGGACTACTGGATAGTTTGGTAGGCGGCCGGCTAGCGATGGTACTATGAGAGAAGTCAGGCAAGGTCCACAAAACAAATAGATTAGATGCTAAAGGTACCATGACATAGACTGCCGACTAGCATTCGCAAGACACTACCTACGTAGCTCCCCCTCGCAGAAACCAGATTTCCAAGGAATCGGACGTATAATGCCACGAATGCCTCGTCTCTCCCCAGCCACTGGGAGTCGAGAATAGCATGTACTAGGCTAGAGCAAGATCTTTTTAATAACGAAGCGTTTCCTAGGAGCGCTAGGAGGTAGCTTTTTATCGTCGCCGGTGACGGGGCATCATCCGCATTACGTTTAATCGTAAAAATTTCCTTTATCCGCTCATAGCCTACCGTTTCCCCCATGGCATATTTCTCAATCCCGTGGTACACTTCCTCGCGAATGAGCTCAGGGGCCTTTTCACTATCGGTCCAATCTTCCATGAGTCGAACCTTTACTTCCGGGTCGAAGGTTACTTTTGAACGCTTGAAGCTCGCCAGGTTTGCCTCAGTATCCATATCGATATCCGCCTCATCGCGGCGGCGGACAGTGCCTGAGAGGGTGGCGCGACGAAGAGGTTTCGCCGGATGTTTTTGTGCAGTCGTTAAAGCAACAGGCGCTGTTGGCCGAAAGGGAGTCGGCATCGGTGAGACCGTGAGCATGTCTTTGATTTGGCATGGGATGAGACTTGAGTGATTAAATAAAGTGATTAAGGTGCAGCGCACATATGCTATAGCAATGTCTCGAGCAAAATCTTGGTGTTCTTGGGTAAAATTGTGTGTTTCGATAAGCCTATGCACGTGACAGCTCTCTCAAACGACGAATCGCCAAAACAGGCAAGAATTTGGCAATTACTCATTCATTCATTCATTCATCCTAGGGTCGAAAGGAGGACGCGCGATTAAAAAGTAGAGTATTAGAGGGGAAAAAACATCCCAAAAGCTAACAGATTATGCGGCAGATGGGGGGGTATAAAATTTTAGAATCAAAAATATATATCGAAGCCTGTGGTGGGACTCGAACCCACAGCCTTGTGGTAGATCTTGAATAAGAGCCACATGCTCTAACCAATTGAGCCACACAGGCATCACATATTAGCGAGTCCACAAACCAGCTATTTGTAACAAATGCAACAGCCCGCCAAGCCGTTTATACAGCACTCGCATACTATCACGTGCACTCTCCCACAAACCCTACCCAGCCCCTAAAGATAAATATTTCAAAATTCCATCACCAAAATAGGACCATGACCAGTGAGAAGACCCCAGAGCCGCTACCCGAGCACACCGCACCCTCTGCACCCAATTCCCCAGTAGCCAAACGCCAAAAGACCACTACAGTACCAACCACAGATATGGAGCAAAGCCCGCCGCTCCTAGTCAAGAAGCTCTCCCCGAAAGGACGAGCTCCTACACGGGGCAGTGCGTTTGCTGCGGGATACGATGTTTACAGGTGTGTTGTCTAGCAATTGAGCCGAGAGCTCCATCTATTGAGACGGATGGCTGATACACAAGCAAAGTGCACATGATACGACCATTCCCGCAAGAGGCAAGGCACTAGTGGACACCGATATTTCAATTGCCGTGCCTGCAGGTACTTGTACGTGTCCCCATTCCCATGGCTCTATGGGACCCATAAATTCAAGCTTCAAAACGATCAATGCCTGACAACGGCTCTGTAGATGGTCGAATTGCCCCTCGAAGCGGACTAGGTTCGTACCCACAACATTGGTCATCCGCTTATGTATTCATACTAATTCTCTTCCCAAAGCTTCGAAAAATTTCATCGATACAGGCGCAGGCGTCATCGACGCCGACTATCGAGGCCAAGTTAAGGTTCTACTCTTCAATCACTCGGACACCGATTTTGCAGGTAAGCCCAAAAATAGTAATAGTACCATGTCACTAAGTTACCATCGTCTTGTGGCGCTGAGGAAATCTTCCCTCGACAAAATGATGAATATACTTCGTTAATCCCAGCTCACTCAGACGCATAATTATTGCGGTTGATGCGAACGCGATTTCATACTCTGACCATCCTCTTTTATCTTTCCATTGGCATCCATACTCCCACATTCCCTACTCTAGATAAAAGCAGACATCCGGATATTAAATGACTGTGGAATGATCTGGGCTAATGTATATCTGGTCTGCTGGACAAATAGTCAAGGAAGGTGACCGTATTGCTCAGCTAGTGCTTGAAAGGGTAAGTCCGGGCTATAATCCACATATGCAGACAAGGGTATTAATTTCCTCAGATCTACACCCCCGATGTTGTGGAGGTTGAAGAACTAGAAGAATCTACTCGTGGTGCTGGAGGCTTTGGGAGTACGGGTTAGGAGGTAGCATCTATGGGTATCAGGACTGGCTGGCTGGCGTTATAAAAAAGCTCTTTTCGGCAACGGCGGTCATGGAAATAGCATTTGTCTAGAAGCGTAGACCAAAAAATAAACTTGCGAGGTTTCCGTATTCTCTATGTCTGAGTTGTCTATCTATAAGGGGCAGGAGCAGGTCAAATTGCACTTTTGCTCATAATTTAAAATGCAAAACGCATATCCAGAGGACTTCTGTCTATAGCCGTAGTACCCCAACCCGAATCAACCTTCTAAAACTTGCGCGAAAAACTCCGCCTTTGGTTCTCTGAGCGCCTGCAAATTCCTCACCAACTGCACCTCCGTAGCCTTCGTCGTTCTCAAGTGTTGGACCTTCTTACTCTTGCCTGCTAAGACCCCTTCTATCCCTGATAGCTGCTTGTCTCTAGCTTCCTTCGTCTTCACCAACACGGCATGCATACTAGCTAACACCCTCTCCACCGCCTTCGCCAATGGCAATCTCACTGCCTCAACCTCGTCACCCGAAACCCAAGCCTTAGTACCGCACAGCCCCCCAGTCGCTGCAGCTTCCCGGAATCGTACAACGGTCAGAGCAGCAAACATGTCGCCTGTGCCGCTGAAGAAACAGTCGATTGTTGGGATGTCAACTTTAAAGAGCCTGGGGGAACCGTCGGAGCGAGTGGTAGAACCGACGACTGCGAGTGTCCCTGGGTTGCCGGGGAGGGAGAGTGAAGTGACGACGATGTGCGGGATATGGTATTTAGCGTGTAAGATCATGATAACAGATCTTAGAGCATCTATAGAGTCGACCTTGACACCGGAAAGCAGCCTGAAACCCCCAGATGTGAGAATGCCCTAGATCGCCGATACAGCGGATTTAAGGAACTAAATGGGAACCCCATACTCAGCTTCAAACTGATTCGGCAATATCATATCCGCCATTCTCAACAACCCTTTATATGCCGGAACCACATCCTCATTCACATACAACTTTCCCTCATCACCCATCACGGGATCGAGAACTACACAAGGAAGGTCATCAGCAAGGCCACCCCCATCAACCACCTCAAACCAAAAAGAAATCATCCTAACCCCAAAAAAAGCTCCCTGGCCGCACCGCCTTACGTCTCAAATCTTCCGCAATCTTCCCAACGGCCTTGACGGCCTCAGCACCAGGGATATAGCCCGAGAGCATGACGTCAAAATCATCGAGAAAATTCTCCTTAAGCCCCTCATAGATGTCACTAATCTCCTTGGCCGAAGTCTTAGATCCCTTGAACTGCCGATATCCAGTATGATTGCCTGCCAGGAAAAAGAAAAGAAAAAAACCCCAAAGTAAGCCAATAGTCTTGTTGCCCGCTACCCACCATTCCACAGAAACCGGGCGTATGTGTATGACTTACTGAACTGCACAGTATTCAAAGCCGCGACTTCGCACCCAAGAGACTGCATGACGAAGACAGCCATACTATTCCCGACATACCTGCACAAGAAAAGACCCACACGAAATGTCAAAAAAATTTTCCCATACCCACCGCAGCACCCCAAGATAAAAGGGTACCCTTTCGGAACTCCGAAGCAACAAATCACAGAGATAAAACACGAGCATGGGAGAGAGTAAAAGGCTTACTAACCCATAGACAACCTATTTCCGCCAACAGAATGTTCGATTAGCCAACGAATCCCCCCAAAAAAGACCCCCATAAACGAAAAGGGAACATATATATTAAAAACCCGCGAAAAGCAGGCCGGATACGCACATGGCTAGCTATCGCGAGGACCCGCGTCTCAGGTACTTCCATCCCGAACCCACAGCCGGCGTAGATATGTGCAAGTTTCTCGGCGAACCCGAAGGTGTGGAGGGCGTTGTCGGGGGACCGATATATATATATATAAATGTCCGTTCGATTTTCTCGTATGGGGAAAATCCGCCCTAGCTACCGAGGTGCGCACCGAACTCCCTTTGCGTGACCACCACGGGGTTTTTTTTGTCCTACCGCCCGAAAAGTGGGGAAGGCGGCTTTCATCTCTCTCTTTTCCGGGCGTTTTTTTTTTTTTTTTGGATGTGTTGATGAGCTTCTTAGCTAATTGAGGGTCTTGCGTGTGCCCTTGTTTGTGATCGGTGGAATGACGTCTGCACACCTAATAGCGTCCGGACAACCTACGCCTTGTGAGTAAACCCACCTCATCCACCCCCCTGTTACCTCTTTTGGATGGCCCTTTCCCGTCTTATTCCCATTGGGTGCTTGGTCCTCGTGATATTGTCTTCCTGGTGGTTGTACGTACGTATATGGTTTCACAGCCTATTTGTCATGTACCCCGCAGTGCTCCAGCTCCCCAGGGATTTTGCCTCTGGAGAGGTATCTATGATATTCTTGCTTTGGTTTGTCTGGGGCTGCTTGATGAACGGATCCCTCATCTGGCATCTAATCTAGTGTGGCACTTAAGATACGATGTCCTTGTAGATGTTAACGGTTTGAATAATAAAGAACTAAGTCAATGCACCTGGATATTCTCCTGAATTCAACGGGATTGACAATCTTGCGGGATGCTTAGTATAGGCCTAAATTGGTTATCCCTGCTGTGCCCTGTTGTCATGAATGACTTGTTTTCTATTGAGCAAACTAGCTATGGTCCGGTGATCCTCTTCCAAATTTAGACATAAGCGCCACTACCAATGTCATTGAAAAGTACTATGCTCGGGGTTACAGCTAAAGCATTTAGTGCCTCTTAGAGAGGAATATGTTGATCCACTAGAATAGCAAGAAGCTTCTCCTGCCCAAGTATCCCCCGAAGACGTTAAGAAGCTCTTGCTTCTGACATGACAGGCTATACGTCGAGATTCCATAGAGGAGGCCAGAAACCAGACGCCAGGGTACTACCAAATCTCAAGATGCCGATACCTCCCTTGGCTAGAGACATAGATTAGAATAACCGGAAATTGGGTGTAGGCCCGTCACTAACTGGCCCGATTGTCCATCTTATTTACCTCCCTAGCCGCAGCTCGCCTCGTACGTCTATCAACGGTTTCAAAGGAAGCCCTAACAATCTCTAGGGATACATTGAAGCTGCCGAGTAGCCTTTCCATCTCGGCGATCAAAACCTCGTTAGAAGCGCCTTCCGTTAGTGCCTCCTGAGATGGTGGAGCTGGAATTGGGACATCAAAGAGAGGTTCATCACCAGAGTCCTCGAATTCATCCGCGTCGGAGGTAGACGAGATCAAAATTTCTTTCCTCTCACTATTGAGCATGGGTCGGTGAAGTTGAGGGCGCAGAGCTGGGAAGTTGGCGTTTGCGCTTGGAGCTGCATTAAGACCAGCCGGAGTTGGAGCTACGCCTCTAGTAAACGGTGGTGGGTAGGCACGCTGTTCGTTTTCACTGGCTCGGCGACCAAACGCTGAAGTAGCGGATTCGGCCTGTCTCGATAGGCTCGCTTGCCGATGGCGTTGCAACTGAGGAAGACCTTCAATATCGACAGTGCTAGTTTCTGTCATTAAGCCCGCATCGATGCTCGGGGGGACGGATCGCCAGGCCTTATGGAAGGATCCACGATTACCGGCGTCAATTGAACTGCCCCTTACCGAAGCGAGAGGGAAATGCGAGCCAGGGTTGGCGTCCATGCTAGCGGTAGAAGGGCGAGGGGGATCATCTCGGTCGTGAACAATGCGCGGAGGCGACGATGGAGCAGAGGAAGACTCCACAGAGGAAGCAGAACGGAGCTCTGCTGCTGGAGCTAGGGAAGGACCTTCCTCAGT